CAGGCCAATATTGCTAGTCCAGTACGGAAGGATGAAAACCATCAGGGGGTTGTACACGGTACATACTCGGGCATAATCCTACCTACAAAGTACATGTCGGTATCTCTCTCTCTTATCAATAAAGGACTTTCATAAATTTCAAAATTGGAGTGCAGATCACCGTCGGTGTACACTTCATTGTTCTTTTTCCATATTGGACCGTTTTCATTGATACTCCAGACTCAATCTAAATCTCCCCTGAATCAATACTGAATCCTAAATCCCCATATCATGGTCGCCCGTCGCCCCAGTACCCCTTTAGCACGATTATTGTGGGAGCCAAGGTGCGTCTCATAGTTATGGAATTCCAATGTTCAACCTCAATGAATGGACATGCGACCGTGGCATAGAGAAGCCAAACCCAATTAATCTGACAACTGATTCTTTTCCTATATAGAAGGACTTGTTGCCGGAAACAAAGGGATGCTAGGGATGGTGAGTCAAATATTTTATCGATGGTGCAATATCTTCTTATTGTTATTATTGTTTTTTTTTTTGCCCGTGCCGTCTTGGTGATTCATATTCCTTTATATTCCTTCATTTTGGTTTTAAAAAAACTTTGAAACTCTTCAACCTCAAAAAAAAAAAAAAAAAAACAGAATGGAGTGAATCCGCGAAATTTCGAGTGTTCTGTTTGGTTGATTTTGAAGCGGAGAGAATCCGAGAACACCAACATCACTTAACTCTCCACATTGAATACCATTGCAAATTGCAAAAGCTTCTCAGACTGATTATGGATTTAGTCGAATCAGGGAGCACCTCTGAGGAGGATCAGAAAAGCTGGGACTCTGATTCTCGTACTCAATCCGATGCCAGTGCTCTTCCCAATAGTGACTGCGGCATCGGCCACCGCGTGCTTGCCAGTCGCTCCGTTCTCGCTCTGGCTGTTGATGAGCAGTGTGTTTTTGCTGGTTTACAAGGAGGAGATATTGTTGTAAGTTAAATTTGGATTCTTCTTTCAAATTGTCCACGGCAATGTTCTTCTACTGCCAAGGTTCAAAGCTGACCGCTTCATTAGGCGTGGTCCCTTGAAACCTATGATCTCGTGGCATCTGTCCACGCACACAAAGAGAGTGTGTTAGGCCTCTATCTCTCTGAAGATGGAAATTTACTATTTTCAAGCGGCGGCGACTCCGTGGTCAATGTGAGTCATGCAAATGAATAATCTCCCGAACCGGGATTAATGACGTGGATAGGTGTGGTCCACGCGAACATTTGAGCGTCTCTACTCAATTTATTCACACCACGATGTGGGCGATATATTTACAGTAGTCTATTCGTCAGATAACCAAACTATCTACTGTGGTGCGCAGAACACAAGTATACAGGTACCTGACCCTTGTCTGCGCCCCCATTTAGCGACATTCTAACCCGGACAGTGGTGTGATCTCTCCGAGGAAGGGTTAACATTGAACCAAGCATCGTCTGCCCATCCATCTAAGCGGACACATCGCTTCTTTGATTCTCGAGGGCCGGACGGTACTCGTGCTCCAGGATCATCGGATGGTGCCCTCTCTGACGGTGGTCGTGTGTTGAGCTTCAAGCGGGATCATCATAAGCTCTTCGCTCATCATGGCTACGTTTACTGTATGCTCCTAGTCAAAGGTCTGGTTGAGACCGCTCCTTCCGAGGAGGTTCTTTTAACTGGTGCGGGCGATGGTGTGGTGAAGTTGTGGCGCCTAGGTCAAGATCCTGGCGCGGCTCCATCCCAAATTGCCAAGCTACAGAATGGAGATGCTGTGTTGAGTGTTGCTGTTGAGGGATCACTACTATACTGTGGTTTGGCTGGCGGCGCCCTTAACATTTGGAATTTGGACTCTCAGCAGCTCGTTAAGCGGATCACTAGACATGCTGGGGATCTGTGGGCTGTGCATGTCATCCAGGGTATCGCTATCTGTGGTGACTCTAGTGGAACGGTCAAGGTATGCACTAATCTAGATTACCCTCACCTTCGAATCGAATTCCGCTAACCTCTGCTAGAAATTCAACTCCCGCTTTGAAGAGGTCGGTGGCTGGGTTGCTCATGAGGGCACCATGCTCGCCTCGGCTGCCGGACGGTTCAAGGATCGTCGGATCTATGCCACTGGTGGAAATGACAACTCAGTAGGAATCTGGGATTTGACTGAATTCTTTATGACCCAGGAAGAGCTGCCTCCGATCAGCAACGGTACGTCCCGTACAGGTCATTCACGTTGAATACTCGCTAAATTTTCCCCAGACGAAATGGTCAACAGTCTTGCAAAGTTCGTCTCTTTCAAGACCATCTCAGCAAGCCCCAAATTCGCTGGCGAATGCAACCAGGGTGCTGCTTTCCTTCGGCGACACTGCAACTACCTCGGTGCCAAGACCAAGCTCTTGACTACTGGCCAGGATACCAACCCCATTGTTTTTGCTAGATTTAACGCTACCTCGCCCGACAAGGTGGATAAGACTATCCTCTTCTATGGCCACTATGACGTTGTGGGTGCAGAGACGAACCGACCAAAGTGGAGGACAGATCCTTATCAGCTCACCTCTATTAACGGCTTTCTGTACGGCCGTGGTGTCTCTGATAACAAGGGACCCATTCTGGCATCACTATACGCCGCAGCCGATCTCGCCCGGACGAAGACCTTGCGTTGCAACGTCGTTTTCCTCATTGAGGGTGAAGAAGAGTCCGGTTCCCAAGGTTTCCACGAAACAGTTCGCGAGCACAAGGCTCAGATTGGACCGGTCGACTGGGTTCTACTAGCCAACAGTTATTGGCTTGACGATTACAACCCGTGCTTAACTTACGGGTTACGCGGTGTCGTGCACGCCAACTTGGTCGTTACTAGCGATCATCCTGATCTTCACAGTGGTATCGACGGCAGTACACTGCTGGATGAACCAGTCAAGGATATTGCCATGCTTCTGTCCACAATTGTGGGACGTAAAGGAAAGATCAATCTCCCCGGTTTCCACGATGCCGTCAGGCCTATCACAGACGCCGAGCAGAAGCGGTTTGAGGCTATCGCCGATGTATTGCTTCTGCAGCACCCCGAGATCCCCGACAGCCAGGCGCTGATCAAGTCATTGATGCATCGCTGGCGTGAACCCGCCTTGACCGTCCACTCGGTGGAAGTCCCCGGAAGCAAGAGCGCAACGACCATCGCACGCCGAGCCAAAGCAACCCTATCGATCCGTATCGTACCGGATCAGTACGCCGACGAAGTCGCAGCCGATCTCACCGCTTATGCGCAAGAGCAATTCGCGCTGCTCGACTCACAAAACGACCTCACAGTCGAAATCACGGGCAAATCCGACGCCTGGCTTGGAGACCCAGATAATGAAATATTTGCCACGCTCTCAGAGGCGATCACCGCAGCGTGGTCCCCGGGCCAAAAGGACCCGAAACGCCAATACCCGCCCCTCTCACAATCATCAAACACTCGCCCAGCGACCAAGCCCAAACCCAGCGCGGGCCCAATCCCCGAACTCCGTCGCAAAGACTCCGACGACAGTCTGGCCTCGCACGTTGAGCGGGTAATCACATCGACAACGACCTCATCAGCGGGTAAGGAAGCCGCGCGCAAACGGTCCACGCAAACAGCCGCCACAGTGCCAACTTCCTCCACTCTCACACAAGCCACGCCGACTTCGTCTGAGGAGTCGGTCACATTGCCAATCCGGGCCAAGTCTACTCCGGATGCCAAAACTCCCACTACAAATGCACCAGCTGTTGCGTCTGGGGCAGCCAAAGTGAAACCGATGTTTATCCGTGAGGGCGGGTCCATCCCGACAATCCGGTTTTTGGAAAAGGAATTTTCAGCCCCGGCTGCTAACTTGCCTTGTGGGCAGGCGAGTGACAACGCCCATTTGGACAACGAGCGCATGCGGGTGGAGAATTTGTATAAAAGCCGGGAGATTTTCCGGTATGTGTTTGCTAACTTGGTAGATAAGTCTTGAGCGGTGTTCAAGTTTTTTTTTTAGGGTCTCATTTTGTAAAATTATCTCTTCAATTGCATTTGATGTGTATCTTTTCCGGGGCTTGACTTTCTTTACCGGGGCATTCATTACATCTGGAATCCTCCAGACCGATAGTCTGTAGACCCATGACTAGTCTGTAGACTCATGACCGTAGTCTACACATCCTGGATTAGCTCCTAATTAACGTTTGACGCTATAGTCCATAAATGAGAAAGACAACGCCCCAAAGCGGATCATCTCACCGTTTCCCCCTGCCTAGTTAGGTACTCCACCGCTCCATACCTACATGTAGGTATTCCAAGGCTGTCTTACACCAACCCGGGTCCCCGCTTTAGAGGCTGTTTAATCCCAAAGCCGTTAAATCACTAGGCTTTTGAGTCGTTGTACGGAGTACATCCACTTCCGATGTGCAACGTCTGGAAATTTTTGCCTTTCCGATTCATAATCCTACTATGTACATGTGTCTCGTATAATCGCAGCTGCCCCTCCACAGGAAGGTCAATGCTGTGTGGAAATTGGCTGGTACTAGGTTTAATGCACCGGCTGGGGTTCGGCGAGCCTGGAAGAAACTCGGCCTTAAGCCGAATAGGGGGTTCCATGCATGATGCTCGCTTTGTTTGAAAGGGTATTACGTAGCGCCACAGCAGGGTTCACTACTTAGATCTAAGAAGAGTATTGGATAGGTCGTTTGTGTGTTCGATCGTGGCTCGGGGAAGTGTACTAGTGCATGGTTATTCTGTGGGGCTCGGGGTTTGAGGTATGTTTTTCTTTGTTTGCTGGCATAGAGGCTGAGATGGTACTTGGATATCTAGATATTTGGATATTTGGATAATACATATGTACATACCTTACATATGTACATATGTGTAGAGATATAAGAAGAAGGTGCTGGTCAACGTTGATTCCCACTAAAGGCCTATTTGTGTTTGCATTTTCCTATCCTCAAAATGAATTCTCTTCCGTTTCAGAAATTTCTCTCCAGTCTGTCCAGGCTCTTTAAGAGCTTGGTCAATATGGGGAGTATGTCTCATCCAGTCTATCTGTTGGATCGAAACGAGGAGGAGACTAAACGGTATGTGTTTACTCTTCCTATTGGACTTTTTCAGACCATTTCACTATGTCATATCCCCCGTTTTGGCTGGTGCTGATATTCTTATACATAGTCTCAATGACCAGCATCGCTTTCTCGTCGATCTCTCGAGCCTCATTCATCCGTCTATTCCAAGAGACCTTACTGCAATCGCTGATTTAGGCACTGGCACAGGGTATGTTGATCCCCCTTCTTTTCAACAATAAGCAAAAGAAATTCGAAGCAAACAACAAACCATTATCCCACAGAAGCTAACTCACCACAGCATCTGGCTCCAAGATGTCGCCAACCTCCTTCCCAATAAGTCAGTGTACCTCCACGGCTTCGACATCTCCTCAACCCAATACCCACGACGCCACGAGATCCCACGGCCTGACCAAAAGCCCATCCTCCTGACTGTCCACAACGCACTTCGCCCATTCCCAGCAGAGCACCTTGGCCGATACGACCTCGTACACATCCGACTCCTAACAGCAGGCTTGAAACAAGCTGATTACATAACTGTGCTTGCAAACGCGCGGGCTTTACTCAGTATGCTTTCCTGTCTCTCCCTTTCTCTTCCATCTTCTCTCACAAAAGGAATATACACCCTCAAACTTGAACCCCCAACTAACAACCACAGAACCAAATGGATGGATCCAATGGGAGGAAGTCGACCACACAGCCTTCTGTACAGACGCGGTACCAGAGCCAGCAGCTATAACCCGACTGCGGGAATGCGTAATCGAAGCTATGCTGAAACTAGGCCTGTGGCCGTTCGCTCCACAGCGTGTCTATGACGAGATCAATGCAGACGGATTCACTGACGTCGTCCGTGAGACTTACACTACTGTTGGGAAGGAGCATCTACGTCCTATTGCGCAGAAATGGGTTGCGGGTGTGATGCGTGCGCTGGTGCCGCCTTCTATGCTTGCTATCGGTCAGGCTGAGGATATCAAGCAGGCACGTGGGATTACTGAGAAGTTAGTTGGCGAGTTTGAGGCTCATTGTGAGTCTGCGACGGCGCTGGTTAACTTTGGGGTTACAGTTGGTCGGAGGGTGAATTAATATTTCGGAGAAGTCTGAGTTGGAGGGTTTGTGGACATGATTTTACTGGGAGGCTTTTTTTAACAAATTTGCAGTGCTCACAATCTTTGAAATGAAACTACGATTCATTGAAAATCCTTTGTAATATAAACTAGGCATGTAGCACTTGATGTCTCATTCAAGATCTATTGTCTATATATATATTAGTACCAAATAAGCCCCAGTGCCCCACAAAATTAATCCGGGGAGAAAATATTTTCGAATCTTCAACTTCAAAAATCAGACCCTTCAAAACTCCAGATCTACCAGCAATGGCAGAATCAATGGAAATTCAAGATGCCCCCAGAGAGCGAAGCAAAGTCCAAGTTACTGCAATTATGATAGCGCTTTCAGTAAGACCTATGGACACTGAACTAAAACTGCATATCCGCCTACTAATTCCCACTAGTTATCGATGTTTATCGCCGCACTTGATCAAACGATCATGGCAACAGCGATCCCAACAATCGCAGCGTATTTCCACTCTTCTGCTGGATATACGTGGATTGGCGGAGCTTATCTGCTTAGCTCCGCCGCCAGCGCATGTATCTGGGCCAAGCTTTCTGATATCTGGGGACGGAAACCGATCTTGCTTTTGGCTGTTGGGTGGTTTTTCCTTAGCTCCATTCTTTGTGCTGCTTCTACGAGCATGGAGATGTTGATTGCCGGTCGAGCGCTGCAGGGTGTTGCTGGTGGTGGTTTGCTCCAGCTCGTTACGATTATCATTTCGGATTTGTTCAGTGTTAGGTAAGATACTTTGATTATCTACAGCCTGATTTGGGCTGTATATGCTTGCCATGCAGGGTTCTTACTAACTGTTGCCACAGACATCGCAGTCTATACCTCGGCCTGATGGAGGTCATGTGGGCTTTTGCTGGTGGTGTTGGACCATTGCTTGGCGGTGCATTCAGCCAGTACGTCACTTGGAGATGGACTTACTGGATCAATCTCCCGATCTCCGGGGTGACCTTTGTGCTCCTTTTCTTTTTCTTGGATGTGCATAACCCCCAGACGAAAATCATGGATGGTGTCCGCGCCATTGACTGGTTCGGCAGTCTCTCAGTTCTAGGTCTTACTCTCATGCTGCTGCTGGGATTGGACTTTGGTGGTGAGACATTTGCCTGGAAATCACCGCAGGTCATCTGTCTGATTGTCTTTGGATCGCTATGTTCTTTGCTGTTCGTCTACAGCGAGAAGAAATTAGCCAAGTATCCCTTGATGCCTATGGATATCTTTACTCGATTCTCTAACATTGCCACCTTATTGGTAGCCTTTGCGCATGGTTTCGTTAGTATCTTCATTCCATTGGTCATCTTCAACCACTAACAAACCTATAGGTCTTCATCGCTGGGGAATACTATATCCCGCTCTACCTACAATCCGTACACGGCTCCTCACCAATGGGCTCCGGTGTCCTTATTCTTCCACTAGTAGTGATGGAAGCATTCTCCGGCATGTTCACTGGCGCGATCATTCACCGCACAGGCCGATACCTCGAGCTCATCTGGATCGGCCTAGTACTAATGACTATCGGAAATGGACTATACATCAACCTAGGCGTGGGATCCTCCGTCGGTAAGATAGTCGGATACCAGATCCTCAGCGGTCTCGGCGCCGGATTCCTCTTCCAAACACCCATCATCGCTATCCAGGCCATGGTCTCCCAGGAAGACACTGCGACCGCGACGGCAACAATCGGGTTCATTCGCAACATGGCAACCGCGGCTTCCATTGTGATCGGCGGCGTCGTCTTCCAGAATAGTATGGGCCAGAAACAGTCCAGCTTGTTGGCTTCTGGTATGTCGCCTAGCATGGCGGCTCAGATGTCTGGGGATTCGGCGGCTGCGAGTATCGAGTCGATTAAATTCATTACCGACCCCGAGCAGTTGCTTGCTGTTAGGGAGGCTTTTGCTTGGAGCTTGAGGAATATGTGGATTCTTTATACGTGCATGTCGGCTGTTGGGGTCTTCTTTTCGGCTTTTATTCTTAAGGCCAAATTGACTAAGGAGCATGTTGAGACTAAGACGGGATTGAATGTTGAGAAGACGCCGGTTGTTGAGGAGAATGTATGATAGAAATTAAGGTGTATAGCAATGTATGGTACGGTCAATAATATTTATACAACAAAACCCGGTTATAACGAACCAAAACTGGTGCACCAATTAATCCCCCATAGTAATAAGAAATTCCCTCCTTACTACGAAGTTCGTTAATTCACTATTCTTCCCATACAAAATTCGTTATATCGAAGTTTTACCACCTGATTTTAACCCACTTTAACCAATTAAAATAAGGGATTGATATAACCACCACCCCACCCCCCCTGCTTGAAACGTCATCTATCATAGTGGTTATGTGAACAGCTTCAGAAAACTAGCCCGCGGCAGTATCATGTGCCTGCTTCCTTGCCCTATAGCTAGGAGTGGCGTAAGGCATTCGATTGCTCTGCAGATTACTGAGGGGATACTATAATAACTTGTACAGCCAGTGAAAAATGCTAGCCAAGAAGCGCCTTTCCTAAATTAGTTTAAATGAATGTGTGACTAGTAATTTGGGGGTGTGCAAATAATATGTATGTTATACATAGCACATGTGTGAGAGGTTTCGACCGGTACGGAGTAGAACTGGCACAATTGAAAGACGGTATAAAAAAGTGCCCATCACCGTAATTTGGTCTTGTTTCGTTCTCTAGAATGGAATGTCTCAAGGTGATTAGATCTTCTGATCCACCTTTTAGCCCCCTAACAACAAGTACAGTGGGACCTCCGAAGTAACTACTCCGTATTGGGCGGAATTTTGTGCCTATGTGAAGGTAGCCGCCCAATACTTCGGAGGTCCCCCACATTGTAGACTCCCCTGTGCGAAACCACTTCTTGTTTAGTTGCAATTCTAAAATCACTCAATACAAACATTCACAGCTTTCACCATGGTCTGGCATGAGTTAAAAAAAAAGACCAAGAGAAAATTTCACCGAAACGCGGCGACCAGATCAACTGAAATTCCAAGCACCCAGGCGTCCCTACCCCTCATCCAGCCTGCAACCTCTTCCACAACTACAAATTCACCCAATCTCGATACGACATCGGAAACATCTAAAAGCGATCCAGTGGTTGAGATCGTGGGACCGGCCTCAAACTCTCGGCCTAATAGCACAGATGCCTACATGACCCCCCCCCCCCCCCCCCCCCCCCCCCCCCCCCCCCCCCCCCCCCCCCCCCNGCTTTCACCAAAGGAACAGCAGCAACTTGACGCCTTTAGAACACAAGGACAGCTCACATTCAGTGAGGATGCTCAGAAATCTTATATCAAAGACCTCATCGACATTACCATAGGAAAGCAGAAAGAATGGGAGGATCGTCGATGGGTTCTCAAATTTGATGGCCACACAATCGTCCCAAGGGAATATATGGAGGACATAGTGAACTGCCTTACGCTTGCTGGTGATATTGGTGTCAACTTCTTACCTCAACCCGCAGATGTTGTTTGGCCTGTGATCAAGGGTGCCATGCAGGTACGCTACCTCCTTCTCCCACTAGTCACTAGTCACTGGCTCACTCTTCAAGGCTCCCATCACCGCAGAAGCTGAAATTGGGGCCACCCTTACGGTCACCGATCTACTGGTTCGATATATTAGCTGTGGAAACGCATACGAGAAAAATTATCTTCCTAAAGCTACGGATCAGCTTAAAGAGAGACTTAAGTCAGCTTTGGAGGATATGTATGTTGCGTGTTTGAAGCTCATATGTGTTACTCTGAAGCAACTACAGCGTCATACGGCTTCACGAGTGGCCCAGGCCTTTTGGAATCCTCAGGAAGTCCAATCACAAGTCTCGGAATTGGAGCAGTTCTATTCTACACTACTCGGGGTTACTCAAAATTGTCAGAGTGAGATAGTCGACCAGATCGACGACCGCATCCTTGATTTTGTCAAGAATTTCAACAACTTTGAATCCTTCGTCGCAAACAACTTTCACATGATTTTGGAGCGACTGGACGAGCAGAGAATAACCGAAATGCTTGATTGGATCTCACCCACGAAGGAGCGAGATCGACACGACCCTACCAACACAGATCGCTTGCTTGATACTTGCGAATGGCTATTGCAAAATTCCACCTTTAAGGAATGGGATATGAGCGAGGGGAAAGCGACTCTTTGGCTCCAGGGGTCCCGTAAGTTTCGTATCTTTTATATGACTGAGAAGGATCATTGCTACGATGGACAAGTAAGAAGCTAATATCAATAGTTGGAACTGGGAAAACATACCTGACATCTAAAATCATCGATCACCTCCTCAAAACGACGCTTCCCTGGGAGGGCCTTGCGTACTACTACTGTAAGCGAACTGAGGGACACCGTGATGAGAAGCCAGATGATGTTATTCGAAGCCTATTTCGTCAACTAGCAGCTCCAGACCAGAACTCGAAGATCAGCAAGGATGTTCAAAGTCTGTTCCTTCAGATGAAGAACAAGACATCTTCTCCAGACATCAACATCTGCAAAGAGCAACTTGTCAAGTTGGTCAATGAATATAGTCGAACCACCATTGTTCTAGACGCTCTTGATGAATGTGATAAACGTACAAGAAAGGTACTATTCGACTTCATTGACCGTCTTCAGTCCTGTTCCGAAAAGCCGATAAGAGTATTTTTCTCTGCTCGTCCAGACCCGGACATCAAGAAGCGCTTTGGCGACCATTCCACTATCCAAACTCGAACCACTGATGTCAATGGTGATATCAGACTATTGATTGAAGAAAAGGTCAAGGATATCCAATGCTGGAATGATATGTCAGAAGAAAATCAAATGGAAACCGTTGACAAACTTTTAGAAAAGGGTGCCGGGATGTAAGCGCCTTAGGCCATTGTATAAGCATGAAGAAGGACTGACGATAACATAGGTTTCAACTCGTGAATCTCCAAATCCCTTATCTCATAGACTGCGGCTTGAAACAAGACGTTTTCGCTCAACTTGAGAAGATACCAGAGGACCTCACAAAAGCCTACGAAGAAATCTATGACAGATTATCTCAGAAAAGGTTCCAAAAACGGCTTGTGGACCGTGCATTTATGTGGGCAATGTGCTCATACGAACCTCTCACCACGGATCTTATTTTGGCAGCAATTCGTTTTGATGGGGGGGGAAGAGGAGCCGCAAGAAAGAATTACTAAGGATACCTTACTGGGCCTCTGCAGCAATTTGCTTGTCTGTGATACACATCAGGACAGTGATAGTTGGGGATTCCCACATGCTTCTGTTATAGATTTCATCGAAGAAAAGTTATGGGACGTACATACGGCCCATTGCCATGCTGCCAAAGTTTGTCTCCGATTTCTTATGCGTGTGTATGGAAAATCGATGAGCGATATACCCACAACTCACAATAACGCCAATGAGATTGTATCGACTCGAAGTCAAGATCAAGACATCCTTCAAAAGAATCACCCATTCCATCGCTATTGCCGACATCATTGGGTACGCCATGTCCAGTATCAAGAATTCAATCTACCGAATGAGGAGGGGGAATTTGATATGGAGCTAAGATCCCTACTCCATCGGTTTCTGGGCTCTCCCACCCAAGGTGGGCCAGCCTATCAGGAGTGGTATCAAGACATAGTCAATGATGACAGGGAGTTTTGTCCATTGAACTCGATCTTCCGGTTCGAAATACAACACCAAGACCTCTCACCGCCCATCCTCCCAGTTCTTGCGATGTCACGTCTCTCATTTGATGGCATTCTTTCCGACTGGTGGGATAGCTACGAGATATCTTTATCACACATAAATGATCGAAATGAAGCCCCTCTCATCCTTGCTGCCAAAGCTGGCTGCTTTTCGATATGTGAAAGGCTTATTAGGAAAGGGGCGTCTGTGAACCAATGTGCCAATGGATTTAGTGCTCTTTCAGCTGCAGCACAGGGCGGTAATATGAATACGGCCAAACTTCTTATCGAGCATGGAGCCTCGGTAGATCTGCTTATTCAGGGGTATTTGGGAAGTGCTCTTGCAGCTGCAGCATGTGACGGTAATATTAAGATGGCCAAACTTCTTATCGAGCATGGAGCCTCGGTGGATCTGCTTCTTCAGGGGTACTTTGAAAGTGCTCTTGCAGCTGCAGTATGGTACGGTGGAAATATAATAGCCCAGTTTCTTCTCGATCATGGAGCCTCAGTGGATCTGCTTCTTCAAGGGAAGTATGGAAGTGCTCTTGCAGCTGCGGCATATGGCGGTGAAGATAAGATAGTCCAGCTTCTTCTCGATCATGGAGCCTCTATTGATCTTCCTGTCCAAAGTGGTTTCTATGGGAGCAGTCTTGCGGCGGCAGCCGCAAAAGGAAACGCTTTGGTGGTCAAGTATTTTATTAGCCAATGCAACGCCAACGTGAATCTGACTTTGACCACGGGAAGATATGGAACTGCTTTAAACGCAGCCTCCTATTGGGGTCAAATCGATTGTGTCAAGATTCTGCTCCAAGCTGGAGCCATTGTGGATCGTTCCCTGACTCCTCAAGGCTTCAGTGATGCTTTTCTGGCCTCTGAAGCGGTTGTTGTCACAAACGATTCATATAGATTCCCAGAGTCGCGATGCTGGGGAGATCGAACTGAGCGCGAAATGGCTGATGATAAACAGGAGGTAACGAGGATTTTGAAGGAGAGCGTATCCTCAAAAGCCATTAGTGAGTAGTGCGCAAGAGAATCAAGAGACCGTCTCTGCGATGAATAAATCATCTGTACTTATCAAAGAGAAGAAAGATCTTTAGTCGCATTGCTGGGTGATTGCATGGGCGCTAAACGTTTGAAGTATGATTTTTTTTACCTAATTCTGAATTTATCTTGCACCGATAGAACAAGAAGGTTGTTTCACATGACCAAGCTGATCAAATTCAGGATCAACCGCGGGGTACAGAGTAGGTGATGAAATGAAAATGGCATCCAGATACGAGCAATTGGGGATGTAGTCATTCATAGATGAGTTTCCGATGAAAACGTCAGATCAAAAGCTATTTTTGACGAATAGCCCTTGGTACAATGCTATAGTGACCTGAGTTGAATAATAACTTATTGAGCATAAGAATCCATTCTCCGATCTTTCTATCTTATAACCAGTTCCCGAAGAGTTGGGATATATTAACGTGTCCCTACGCCCGGGAATCTTAGTGCATTCGGCAATATTACTGATACTTTCCTCGTAGCGGGCCGTATTACTCGTATAAACCTAGAAACCCTACATAGGGGCTAGGTGGTAGATAACCTGGTATGCATCAAAGAGCTGTCTGGTACGATTGGGGCCCTACCCACAGCTATGCACAGGATGTAGGTTAATCCTACAGCCATTAACAGTTCTTCTAGGCTAGTCTTAGTATTGAACTTCGACCACGGCGGATAATAATGGCTGTAGGGGTTCCTATGTGCGGAACGCGCCCCTTCATATGTTCTATCCCCAGTATGGTCTAGGTTTCTCGTGATTTTTTGAAGCTTTCCACGAGAGTCGCGTTATCCTTGCTGGAGTGACACAAAATTGTAACCTACATGGTCTCTAGATGTCTACATATTGAAGTATTGGGCGGCATTTCGGTACCTTCACATACCGCCTGTTGTGAAGAGACACAAAATTCCGCCCAATACTTCAGAGGAACAGTCATTGTATTTACTACGGAGTATATGATTAATAATTGTATGCCAAGAGCTACCTACCTAGTACCTACTAGGTAATATTCGTATTAGGTTTATACACTATGCCAACAGTATTTCACATTCACAAAACTCAGGAGTCAGCTAGCTGAAGACTTGGAAGCAGGAAAAACCAGTATTATTCGCATAATGTATGTGCAACGCATAACAATATATTAAAAATCGAGTCAAACAAACAAGAAGCCAATATAGACAAGTAAACAAGTGAGCAGTCATCGCAAAGCATCAATATTCCCTTATTGAATCGAACACTTTCCTCCGACTACACAAAGAACAGGCAGATCAGCAACACTATTTCCAACCCAGATCTTAATGCCCTGTCCATTGACGGGAGCCTTCCAATCCTGCACCACAACATCCCAAACACTAACATCCTTGCGAGTAAGGTGCAGCGTAACCGTCTGACTCTGACCAGGTGCAAGCTCCTTTGTCTTCTCAAACTGTCGGAGCTGCAAGGCCGGCGTGTCCAGTCCCAGACTAGATGGAAGCTCAACATATAGCTGAGCAACAGCCTTTCCAGTTCGTTTACCCGTATTCTGGACCTCCAACTGGACCGAAAATACAGTCTCGAAGAGAGCGGGATTTCCGCCCTCGCCACCCCCAGCCCGGGGGACTGCGTGCGGCTCGGTACTGTAGCCGTCCGGGTAAGAGTACTTCTTCGTCGCAGTGATCAGCTGCGGGTTGAGCAGGTAGGGGTAGATGTAGCGCCAGATGCGGGTGAAGCTGGTAGAGGACCAGGCAACCTCCGATGCGTCAGGAATGCTGGTGTTGTAAGAGGGGGTCAGCGGCTTGGTGGGTCGTGCAGCTGGGTAGGCCGAGTCTAGCAAAGTTCCTGTTGACAGCGAAGGCTGGGAGAAGTTGAAGGTGGTGTAGGAGAGACCGTGGCCAAAGGCATACCGAGGTGTGATATTGGCCTTGATAAAATGGCGATAGTCGATGTATAGCCCCTCGGTGTAGGTGTCCTGGATCTGGCCGAATGGCTGACTGATCAAGTCCACACTATCCGGGTAATTGTCTTCACTGCGGGGAATGGTGTATGGCATGTGACCGCTTGGGCTGTAGTCACCAAACAGGATATCGGTAAGGGAGTTTCCGGCTTCTTGTCCGGGAAGATGTGCTACAACCACTGCTTTCACAGACTTGAGTTCAATCCACTCTTCCATCAGGATGGGACCGACGGTGTGGATAATCACGACTACATTGGAAAACTTCTCTGCTGCTGCTTTGACAAGATCGTCGCCATTGTGCCAAGCATTGAGTCCAGCTATGGTTCGATCTCCAGGGTTTCCTTCGACTGTAATATAGTTCTCGCCTGAATCTGCACTGATGAAAACAAGAGCGATATCGTTGTCATTGGCAGTAACGTCCGAGGGGAATTTGTCGGTGATGTGGAACTCAGCATTCTTAGTGATATTAGAGATTGCCTCTTGGGGTGTAATTAGGTAGGGTAGCCTGGCTGTGCCACTGCCCCAGCCCATGGTCAAAACGCCTTTGTTGCATCCTTGGTCGACGCAGGAGTTGAGACCGTCTGGATTTCCACCTGCATCTGTGCCGAATATCTTGAGAGAATCATTGCTATGCAGAGGAAGAATGTCCATGTCGTTCTTCAACAAAGTGATTGCTTCCCGTGCAACAGCTCTCGCGGTGATGTTGTGGTCACCCTTCACATCGACAAACTGGTTAACAATACCAGATGGAGAAATTAGAGCTCCGGGGTAGATCAGGCCCTCCTTGTCCTGGGTGTTGGTCGAAAAGTTTGGTAAGGGATAGTTCTCATCCTGTTTGTATTTATACCAAGTAGCAACGATACGTTGAACCTAGACCGATATATTAGACATGAGGAAAATCAAAATATACTGGACCACATACCATATCGTTGAGACGGTCGACGGGAACACTGCCGTTCAAAACTGAACGCGACAGCTCAGAGCCCCAGTATGAATCTCCAAACAACGGAACTGCTCCATCACCAGGCATGGCCATATCCAAGCCAGCTATGGCGGACGCAACGCCAGAGTAGTGGCCCAGCCAATCCGTCATCACAAATCCTTGGAAACCAAGTTCATCCTTCAGAATGCCATTGATCAACTTGCTGTTCTGGGAGCATGACGAGCTATTGACCTATTAGGTGTCAGCAAAATACAAATACCTCAGAACATGGATTTGAAGAGACTCACATCGGAATAAGCTGTCATCAAGGATCCCACACCCGCGCGAACACCCTCGGCGAAAGGCCAGAGGTACAGCTCATGCAGCGTGCGATCATCAATGTTAGATGAATAGCCCTTGGTAACAACACTGCTCATGCGGTGCATTTCCTGCTCATTACCAATGAAATGCTTGATAGCCGCGATAGCGCCGGTACTCTGCATACCCTTCACAGTCTGAGCACCACCAAAGGCCTGCAGAGTGGGATCAGCACCGAAGCCTTCCCAGTTCCGTCCACCGCGTGGCTTGCGTCCAAGTGCTCCCACAGATGGTCCGAGGAGCACGTTGACTCCCTTGCCGCGAGCTTCTTCGCCGAGCCCAACACCCTCGCTCATACATGAGGTCTTTATTAAATGTTGCGCCAACCGTGATACCAGGCGGAAAGGCAGTGTTGTGGTCCGAGTTGCGAATTCCCAGAGGGCTGTCTTGGAGGCACAGGTTGGGAATACCTAGGCGAGGCACGCTCCCTGTTTGCCCTACGCAGGGTCCCATGAAGAAGCCCGTGCCTGTTGTTAGATTAACTTTCTCAGCCAGCGTCATATTGCTGACGAGATGATGTGCCTTGGAGTAGGCTTCACTCCAGTCGGGAATCCATCCTCCCGGAGGCGTGGGGTAGTATGGAGGTGATTCATAGCCTTCTGCTGCTCTCGCGTGCAGGGCTGTAGTAGAGTCAGATTCGTCTGGTACTGGGGAAGCCAGGAGAAGTGGGGTCAAAAGAGAGACTAGAGCTAGATGTGCCCAAGGAGCCATGGTGATGGATTCGCGAAAAAAAAAAGGAAAAAAAAGAAAAAAAAGGAAGGTATATGAGAAAAGATTGTATATGGGCCAGTCAAAAGAATGAGTGCATTATGTTCCGCAGAATCGAACCTGCAAGATTTCAATCTAACAGGATCCCTGGGGAGCTATAACATATAAGGAAACTACAGACTACTTGCTAGGAACAGGGAAAGAGCAACGCCCGCGTGCACATCTCGGGGAAATGTATATTCACGGGATGATCCTTGCTGGATTCGACGAGGATCGTCGTGAGATCCTGTTAACATCGCACTTGGCAGTGCAGTGAATACCGTGAAGCCTTGTCACCTTTTCACAATTGTTCAAGGATCGACTCCTGGCTAGTCTACTAGTGACTTCACCTGCATAGCCGAGGCCTGTCGGACAGGAAACCGCAATTCTGATAGGCTGTGCATATGGATTCGGAGCATAACAGAGGTACCTATTCCGTACTCCATACTCTGTACTAGTACTACGGAGTACGGAGTAGTATTTTCTAAATAATTAGCCCCCGGATTACCCTCCCTAAAAGAGACAAGTGTCAGGGGTTTCAATAGTTAAATATGCAACCCAGCACGTGCCCCCTTTTCTCGACTCACAGAGTTCATTTCGTTGGTACGTACGGAGTACAACTTAGTTCAAGATATCACCAGAAGTTATAAATGGAAAAGTAGTTTGCACATCGCCCATTCAAGCCATTTTCACTGCCTATGTTCTAGCCACAACAGGGGGAAATTTATCTAAAAGACATATAAAAAGACTCCCGAAGGACGTGACAGGGCCGCATAAGCGGCCGACTTTTATTACTGTAAATAGAACATCCGTTTGATCGGCATTGAAATGGCGTTTGCTCAATTTCACCCGTCATCTTTAGATCTTGGTATAGCGCAGGTAAGGCTTGACCTCGCGAACTTCACCAAACTTTTTCTTGGCATCGGCAGTGCTGACAGAGGGAGGCACGATGACATCATCGCCAACGTTCCAGTCAATCGGGGTAGTTACACCTTTCTTGTCACCGGTCTGCAAGGAGTCGATGACCCGCAGGACCTCAGCGGAGTTTCGGCCCGTGGAGGCGGGGTACATCATGGTCAGGCGGATCTTCTTGCTCGGGTCGATGATAAACACGGAGCGAATAGTAAACGCGATTTCCTTCTGTCCGAGGCTATCCTGGTCGATCATATCGTAGAGGAAGGCAACTTTGCGGTCGGCATCGGCGATGATTGGGAATTGGACTTGTGTGGAGCCGACTTCGTTAATGTCCTTGATCCACTGATCGTGGGAACCGAGCTCGTTGGCACTCTGGAGAGAAAGGGGGTATCAGCTAAGTCTATACAAAGTAGGTGTTGTAAATGACGGGGACTCACCAATCCGATCATTTTGACCCCGCGTGCGTCGAACTCATTTTGAAGCCGGGCGAAGGCGCCCAACTCAGTTGTACACACCTAATTAAATGTTAATCCAGTGTCTTCATAGAGTATGTTGGTGAGCGATACGGGGGTGAAGTCGGCAGGGTGTGAAAAGAGGATGGTCCAATTATCACCGATGAACTCGTGGAAGTCAATCTCGCCCTGGGTGGTCAGTGCCTTGAAGTTTGGGGCTATCTTATGTTAGCATGGTGTCTTGGCAAATGGAATCCTCTCAAAACGGTACCAATTGAGCCCAGGCGCAGACGCGGCTGTTCCATCTTGGCTGAGATGAAGCGGCGGAAAGCGGGCGCACGAGGCACCTGTGCAGACCACGAGGGCCGTGGAGCAGCTCTGAATGCACGGAACATCTGAGGACCAATTCTGGAAGCCATGATTGTGAAGAGTGAAAGGTCAAAGCTCCTAGATCTCAAAGTTGACTCGGGACTTTAGAGATCCTGGGGCCGTGAACCCTTGAACCCTTGAACCCGTGGACGTCATCGAATCTGACTAAGCGACCACTTTGCCAGTACCAGATGGCCTCAGGCCCTAACTTGTACATGCACAGGTGTTTATATGCGATCGACAATGCTTTTGTCACTTGAATTTAATCTATGTTTCATCCTTCTCGTATCGAATCTAAACGTGGCGTGCTTTGTACTATTCTCTTCAAGATGTTGCATTTGTGTCACTCGTGAACGCAAACTGCAGGGATTGTGAACTCGGCAGATTTATGCAGCCAAGAAAAATTCTATTAAGGTCCAGACTTATATCCCATTTATAGAACACCTTGATCCCATACAATTGGAGAAATGAGATGTGCTGTGTATCTGAGACATTCCAAGGTGGGAAATTAGACACTATCCACGGGTTGAACTGAATTCTATAATTGGACCAATGAGAGGTCCAATCTGAGACCCTTAATATCGACACTCGGTCCATGTCCACAATGCTGTTAGCCAATGCCCAGTTTAGGAATAATTTTTAGAAAACTCAATAGCATCAATGCTTTCTAAAACCGTGCATTTCACTTGGAAAAAAAAGGATAGATTGAGGTACAAAGTAGAAGTCTTGCTATAACCATGCACCTATACTCCGTACTAATCTACTTGAACTCCCAATACAAAACTTCAGAAAATGAAAGCCAAGCTTTTGTGGGCCCTAGATGGGCCCTGAATGGATCCTGCTCAAGAGATAGACACTTTTCCCTCATAAACCGGAGGCGGATCCCTTTTTGAAAGTGTTATTTTCGTTCGTATTCCTCCCAAGAGGTTCCCTCACATTCAAGATGGGACGGTTTCACTATCTACTCGGTTTGCTGCTATTATTCATATGTTCATTTATCTGGATTGCATCGAACCTGGCAAAACAACCACCAAGCATTGTTCTTACTCATGGATCGTGCGTCTGCAGCGAAGAAAATGTTACCGTCGCTTCAGATGCCAGTATCATACCCTCAAATCTACCGAAACTTCCCCTTAAAGATATGAAACCAATACCAGAGCCCAAGATACCAAGCTACCTCCCAATCGCAAACTCTCATGGTCACCATGCACAGTCATCAATCCCATTCAAACTCTGGCAAAAGGCCGGTTCAAAGAAAATCAATGACGCCCGCCAGAGAGACATCCATAGTTGGCTAGATGTGAACCCACGTCTACGACACGAGATATTCACAGACGACAGTGCAGATGAGTACGTTCGTGAGCATTTTGCCGACTACCCAGACGTCCTTGACCACTATCTCTCTCTTCCGGTGCCAATCCTAAAAGCGGATCTCCTTCGTCTATTGATCTTACATGTTGACGGAGGAATTTGGAGCGATCTTGACGTGACATGCCACAAACCAATTTCTACCTGGATTCCGGAACAATACCAGAACAGAACAAATGTTGTTGTCGGTTTGGAGTTCGACGGGTCCCAGTTCGCGAGTTGGACGATCATGGCAAAACCCAAGACAAGCCATATCGTAGCGACCATCAAATATGTCGTCGATAAACTGAAAGCGACTGCTGCACAGCACCATGTGACCACCGCCGGACTTAACATGACGATGATCACCGATGTGGTAGATCTCACGGGCCCACAGGCGATGACTGTTGCCATATTGCAGAACCTGCAAAAGGAAATGGGCGTTCCTGTCGGCCGAGCGAATATAACCAATATCAAAGAACCCATCCTATTTCAGGACGTGCTCGTGCTGCCTAATGCGGCTTTTGCCTCTAGACAGGGTGGCTACCCGACGGATAGAGGGCCATATCTTGTTGAACACCATTACGCTGGCTCTTGGAAGAATGTCAATGGTGGCGAGACAAAATCGTGATATACTCGGAACCTTTTGTATTGGTATGCACCGCATAAAACATATGTGACACGATGGACATAGAAGCATAAAAGATAATCTAATTATTGCATTCAGCGTTTAATTGACTCCCAAGGAAGTGAGTATTGCTAGGATGATAATTACATGTAAATTCCTGTCAACTATGGCTTTCTAATCTTGCGGTCAAACCTGGGTTACGAGAGGGATGAACCGAATCATGAGATCCCTGATTCTATATGGTGCCGCCGCAACTTTGTGTCTAGTCCGCTATTTGGGTATTCGACGGGCCAAACTGTAAACCGTCAATGGAAAGCCCACAGCCCGGTAAATTTGAATCAATAGCCATCTCAGCCCGGTTAGACGTATACATTGGGATGCTCTGAAATTAGTGTGGCAAGGAATATATGGTTCAATTCTCTTACGTCGTTCAGTACTATATAGCAGAGTTTTTCTCACCTAGGTTGCGCAATTCGTGTTCTGTATAACCTGGAACGTCAATTTCAACTTCAAGGCAAGGCAGCCCTTGCAGAAGCTGGCTAACCAAATCCTCAAATTGAACTTATTGTAGCTCCTGTGTATGCCTTATCATGTTGAACCTCCGTCCAAGCTGCATGATACTTTCTGACTTTCGTATGACTGAATGCTAGAGGTCCATATCAACCCAACACTAAAGCAGGCATAGGGGTGGTGGGGATTTGGTTGCGCAACTAAGAGAATCGTCAAACCACTGTGGCCAAAATCACTTTTGAGCGTGATTATATGTATGCCAAACAAGACTAGTGAGCCACTTATGCGGCCTTCTAACGTCTTTTTAGCTGGTATTTTTAGCTGGTTGTTCTAGAGGAATCTTCCGATATATGTGAAGGAGGTAAAAACAGCACTTTTCTGTATATAACCTGTGATTAATGCAGTTGCTTGTAGCGCTATTTGTGAGGTCTTTTTGGTCATCTTTTTAGATGCCTTTTTATAGACATTTTCCCCTTCCGCAGTTTCATACATAAACGACAGAAGAAGGCGGAGAAAGGCTCAATTAGTGAAATGGACCTTTCTATATATGGCCAAGGTTACTTGCTTGTAGCGCTATGCGATAGAAGCATGTGGTTGTATGGAGAAGAAGAGTTTGAAGAGACCTATGTTGTTTGTTGGCTTTTCTTCGAGGTTTTTAATGTTGCTTTCTACCTGTTTACCTTTTGTTCATTCATTCCTATCAATTTCATGTCACTTACGGCTCTATCCCAACTTTCTTTCATTCTTCTTGTTTCCCTTTAAACACCAAAACCCAGAGCTAGACACTCTCTCCACAGATATCACGCCTTTCCGCCAGTCCAAAAATCCGCGATGAGAATCATATCGGTCAACCCGTACGTCATACGTGGGGCTCACCCCTCCAGCAGCACTCAAGATCCCAACTGGGGATATAGCTGCCTGGTGCGCATTGAAACCGACACGGGCCTTGTTGGGTGGGGTGAGGGAACCACCGATCTGGGTTGGGGGGCGCCAAAACTTCTCGAGAGGATCAACACAATGTTCGCCCCAACCCTGATTGGACGTGACCCCACTGAGCCGATGGCCATATGGAAGACCTACAAACCCTCTCGGTTTCTAACTACGGACGTGAACTATGAACCTCCGATGAACAACAGACATCCATCGGTGCAATCAGCGCAATCGATATTGCGCTGTGGGACATTACCGGAAACGCCAAAGGCCAGCCCATCTGCAAGTTACTAAGCAGTGCCATTCGATCCCATATCAAGTTCTGTGTGGAAGTCTCGCTTGATGACCTTTGGGTGCAACAGTTTTCCTCTGACTCCCCATGGCAGCTAGCCTCTGCTACAATACCAGAGGCACAGTCATTGCTTGATTTGGGCTTCGACACTTTCCAGGTCAAAATTGAGGGCCGACCTGAAAGCAATATGCAAGTTGTCCGGGCGACTCGCGAGGCATTTGGCCGACACGCAAGCATTGTCGTCGAAAACTACAATCTAAATGCACCAGGAAAGGAGTTAGTTTGGGCAATGTCGTCTGCAAGAATCTCTCTTTTCGTCGAAGCTTTTAAGCCACACTCCAAAGACAACCTGAGGCCCTCGGTGCCGGTGGCTTGGGGCGAAAATGAATGGGACGGGAAGAAGCTCTGCGAGGGAATGGCTGGAGGCGGTGTTGACATCCTTTGACCAAACATCATTATTTGCGGGGGTTTCACTGCTTTACTTCGGATTATGATCATTGCCAAATCCCATGATGTTCTGGTTATGCCATCGTGCAGCTCGCTACACGGCTCCGGGATTGCTCTTGCGGCTATAATCCAGGCCTCTGCTGCGGTTCCATGGCGCCGAATGAATGCCGAGCAAGAGACCAGCCCCAGAGATCCCATGATCAAGCTTTCACCCGATACGTTGAACATTCGGAACCAGTTCCTTGTGCAGAAGATTGGTGGCTCGGGTGGATATCTAGGTGTGCCCGAAAGGCCGGGCTTGGGAACGATAGTTGACGAACAAGTCTTAAGCAGAGTAACAATTATTTGAATGAAGGGACTACTTTTTCAATCAAACTGGCCCCGGTTTAGTGGTACCTAGACAAGGCATAAATTTGACAATCGATTTTGTGACGTCAGGCCGAAGTTCCGTCGATTCCAAGGTTCATTCATGTATGTACCCCACGCGGGCCGCAAAGCTTAATTTATTGAATCTGCAACTCCACAATAATGCACAACTTTGGAATGTAGACAATATGTATGCTATTGTATCACAAGAACATTGATTGATATTATGCTAATTTTCTATTTGGAGGGGGATGTCTGAAGGCTGCCTTGGGTGGGTAGGGGACTGTTTGAAGGGTAGTTGTTCAGGAAGGAAGGAACGCGTAGGACTCTTTAAAAGGTCAACATTGATCTTGTTTTCTCTCTTTTCTCTCTTCTTTGTTCTCTCCTCTCATATTCGTCAAAACGTCTGAATTGTTTTTTTTTTCTTCAACCACAATGCCTGGCGTCAATTCGTTCGTGTTTTTTGTGCTTCTTGCGGCCATGGCCGCATATTGGCACCGTGACCTCTTCCAACTCGTTGGAAGTATCGTTGTTGTTTTCACCGTGTCGGTGGCGGGGGCTTGCTGTTTCAGCGGGTAAGTTTAGGACATTTCATCCCTCATATGTCCCCTCTGTATGGCCAACCTATGGGTCATGTCTCATGACACCAAAAGAGTTGCCAAAGATGCCTTGCCCAAAAACCCATCCAAATACCCCTCCAAATACCCATCCAAGTACCCTTCCAAATACCCATCCAAGTACCCTTCCAAATACCCATCCAAATACTATTCCAAATACCCTTCCAGATACCCTTCCAGATACAGTATGGAGACTAACATTGAGTAGTCCCCGTTTCTGTTTGTTTCGCCTGCTGCAATCAGTGGCAGCGTTGGCCTGCGAGCCAACACACGACAACCACCACGCCGAGGCCACCGAGGCCGAGGCCGAGAAGAAGAGATTGAGAGCTCAGGTGGGGCTTTTGGAGCAGCAGCTCCGTGGCACGGAGGCACGAGTTCGTGATTCCGAGGTAGCCCGGGAGATCGAAAAGAAACGCCACGAAAAGGAGGTCCGTCACCTGGACGCTCGACTGGCGACTATCTCCCGGGGTATCAAGGAATCCCTGCTTGCGAAGGATCGGGTCATCGTCGAGTGTCGCCAGTGGCGGCGCAAGTTCGAGGACCTGGAAGACCTACAGCAGCAGGCCCTGGAAAATCCCGTTCGCGAGATGAAGGGACGTCCTCGTTGGGTCCCGGCCAAGAAAAACGGAGTTGGGAAGGGGGGACGTGGTCGGCCGGCAAAAACATTCACTGCCATTGCGCAGGTGGCGATCGTCAATGCGGCGTGGGAGTCGAAGCTGGTCAAGTTCGAGAACGAGGCCCGAGACTATGTGACTCGCACCGACGACCAGCTTCGGTCTCTTCACGACGCCGCCACCGCGCTCAGCAATGAGAACGCATACCTCAAGCAGCAAGTCCAGGCGACCCCCGACATCCCCCACGAGCTGGCCCAGCAGCAAGTGAGGGATGCGGTGAGAAGCACAATGCTGTACGCTGACCAGCAGCATGAGGAGCGTGTCGATTTGCTGAAGCAGACTTTTAGCAAGGAGCTGATGGCAGCCAAGGTCGACTACGAGGGGAAATTGGCGGAGGCAACAACGGAAATCAATGCAAAGGAGACCGCGTTCGCTCAGCAGCGTGAGGCAGCCGAGAAAGTAGCTACGGCTACTGCCCAGGAGATTGATTCTCTGAAGCGCGAGCTGGGCGAGCTGCGAGCCTCCAATGCTCAGATTGCCGGTGACCTACGGGTCAAGGAAGCAGAAACTGCCAAGCTTGACGAGGGGCTACAGAAAGAAGCTGCTAAGGTCCTCAAGCTTGGGCAGGAGAACGACGGCCATAAACAGGCCGGCAAGAGGATGCAACGGGATTATGAAAAGTTGCAGTCTGCGAATGCAACTCTTGTGGGGGAAAAGCAGGACCTGGAACAACAGCTAGAAGACCAGGATGCCGCATGCCACGATCTCGCGGAAGACGCTGAGAAGTGGCGTCGGAAGTCTAAGGGCTGGAAGGCCAAGACGCACGAGCTTGGCCAAGAACTGGCCACCATTCAGACGGCAGACCTCAACCAGGCGATTGGAGGCATGGGGTTTGGTGCTGAATAAGCACCCGTCCCGGCCTCCCGACTCCTAATCGCCATCCTGTCGCCTGGTTGATCACTCTGTCGTCTCCTTCCAGCCCTTCCTCGGTCTTCTGGCTGTTCCCAGGCCCTCTTCCCCCTCGTTCCTTCCTTGTTGTCCTCATCTAACCCCCACCCCCCCTTTAATCTGCCCAATTCCCACCTGCTCAATCTAGTTAATCATTTCCTCCCCCCGCCGCTCCGCTCATCGAAACAAGAGCATGGGCCATCAGTCACCCATGCTCTAATGAATTCTTTGCAAAACCGTTCATTTGCCGCTCAGCCATTAGTGCTGAGCCTGGCCAAGCTTCTCCTCATCGCCGTCTCGCAACTTCCTTTTACCACTGCTGCGCCCATATTCTCGCCTCTCTTTCTATCATCCCGCGACACAGAACCACCAAAGGAACCGAGCGATCCGAGTTTATGGCTTTACTTGGGATTTTCAGCTGCTCTTGTGTTGAGCGGTGGAGCATTTGCGGGTCTTACAATTGCATTGATGGGACAGGTTAGCTCTTTCCAACGCGGCTAAAAATCCCCCGATGAACCAGGCTGACATCCTGATTGCTTTGTACAGGATGAAGTTTATCTCCAAGTCATCAAGTCATCCGGCGAAGGGCACGAAAGGAAAAATGCTACTAGCGTTCTCAATCTCTTGAACCACGGAAAACATTGGGTTCTTGTCACACTCCTCCTCAGCAATGTGATCACAAATGAAACCTTACCCATCGTCCTCGACCGAACACTCGGTGGTGGTTGGCCGGCAGTACTAGGAAGTACTGCTCTGATTGTTATCTTCGGCGAAATTGTTCCACAATCCATTTGCGTTCGTTATGGTCTTCCCATTGGTGCCTGGATGGCACCTTGCGTCTTGGTCTTGATGTACATCATGTCCCCAGTTGCCTGGCCAATCGCAAAATTGCTGGACAGGCTGCTTGGAGAGGACCATGGTACCATCTACAAAAAGGCTGGATTAAAAACTCTCGTCACTCTCCACAAAACCTTGGGTGAAGCCGGAGAGCAACTGAACTCCGATGAAGTGACCATTATCAGTGCAGTTCTTGACCTCAAAGAGAAGTCGGTAGGCAGCATCATGACACCAATGGACGATGTCTTCACCATGTCTGCCGACACTGTCTTAGATGAGCGCACGATGGACCACATTCTTTCCCAAGGATATTCCCGCATTCCTATCCACGCCCCTGAAAACCCGATGAATTTTGTTGGTATGCTCCTTGTCAAAATGCTCATTACATACGACCCGGAAGATTGCAAACGGGTCCGCGAGTTTGCTTTGGCCACGCTTCCTGAAACACGTCCTGAAACCAGCTGTCTGGATATTGTGAATTTCTTCCAAGAGGGCAAGTCCCATATGGTTCTGGTCTCTGAATATCCTAGTGAGGATCGTGGCGCTCTTGGAGTTGTCACCCTGGAAGATGTCATTGAAGAACTGATCGGAGAAGAAATCATTGACGAATCTGACGTCTTTATCGATGTCCACAAAGCCATCCGACGAATGACACCTGCACCTAAGTCTCGTGTTGCTAAAGGCAAGATCGTCGAGGAGCCTCCTTTGAACGCCTCTGTTGTCACCGATGGCGACTTGATTGACGTAGATTCCACACAACCTGATTCCACGCAACCTTCATCTCTTCCCAAGCCTTCAGACTTGATTCGACGCCGCAGTTCTGTGGAAGCACCCCTTCCCCGCTTTCAACTTCGCAAAACAAATACAAATACCGACATCAATCCAGACTCAGCAAATGAATGGGTCACACAAGTCGGCACCACAGATGAGATTCGAGAACATCTAAAACACCTTGGTCCCTCCAACCTGGCCAGCAGGCCGCGCCAAACCCGTTACCATGCCGTCAAGATAAAGCGCAACAGTACTTCTCCATCCCGCTCCGCACAAACCGACTTTGAGTCTGGACAAAGTAACTCCGACTCCCAAAAGCTTATCCCTTCTTCTACCGGATATCAAGGTGGCATAGGCGCGGGCTTGCTCAACTCCGCTGGAACAGACGCTAAAGATGGTGCGCATGCTCTCAAAATTGGCTACGGCACCATGGCTTCGCAGGACAGTGTGAGCAAAGGCACCGGTGCTCAGCAATACAAAGACCTTCCCCAAGTCTCCATTCCCGAGGCTGTTCGTGAGGAACACGAAGACCAACCGCGTTCTGGGTCGACGCGCGCGGCTAGTAGTGACAAAGGCAGTGTTGAATCGTCTGGTACACCAGGCTTTGTTTATCACCACCGCGGACCGGCGCGTAGTGGAAGCATCACAGAACAGGTCGTGGATGTCAATGGTATTCGCAAAGTTGTCCTCCATGCAAATTGCACGAGTTCTTCAGAAGGTGAATCACACCCATCAGGCCATCATCGCCATCGCGACCACCACCATACCGACGGTTCAGTCCTTGATACCGATGACGCAAAATCTGAAAACCCCGACAGTGGCCACGCAAAATCAAAAAAGAAGCGCCGCCGAAAGAAGCATGGCAAAGCTTCAAAGTCTGATGGCGGTCCCTCAGAGGACCAGCCGTTACTTCGATAACCCGTTATTCCAATGAGCCGTTACTCCAATAAACCATTACTCTGATGACCCGGTAGTTAGTTCAATGGAACATATTCCAGTACCACAATTATGCCCGTATATCCATGAGATGTAGAAGTGCCCCGGGGTTCCAAGGGTATTTTCATTGCTTCGTAGCCGTATGTGCCAGCTGAGAAGCAAAAATTATCTTGTACCCCCCGGGAACTTGATATACCGTACGAATTCTTTAGGTGGAGATTTCAGTCACAGGTTTTTTTTACAGCCAACATTGGAAAGCATTGATTTATTTGAATGCAAGGTTGGTGGAGGGATCGATCCAAAATTGAGCCAACATGTAGCAGGCTACGTCTACAATTATAACATGCCCCACTAGGCAGATATTGAGCAGATTTGTTTTGATTTTGCTCAGACTACTTACATGAATGATATTTCCAAAAGACTCCCCCAGATAACATGAGATGACGACACAATGATGACAGCTGTAACAAAAGGTATATGCAACATGTAATCGCTATCCATAAAGACGTCCCTCCATAAAGTTGTCCAATGTTCGGTGAGGCCTCGTTAAAACCGACCGGGTTGAAAAACTCATTTGAGAAAATGGCCCGGCTCGGAAAGAGTACCTCACTTGGTTGTTTCGTTGCTGAATCGAAGGGCTTATAGAAGCCCGAAGGTTGCCAAAAGTCGAGCAGTCTCACGGCACGGGAGTAACAAGCGTGCAAGTTGAAGAACTGCGGTGGTTGTCGATGTATTGCGAGTATTGGCGAATGTTTCGGTGGTGACATCGAGAAGACGATGCCGTGATTGAAAACCGGTCGATTGATGTGATTTCCCGTTGGTGTTGTTGTGAAGCGATCATTGCAGCAGGGGATCCTAGATAGGAAGTTAGTTTTGAAAGATAAAAGAAGAGTACAGGTAGAACATACGCGGAAGTGCTTCTGGTGATTGTTGGCTCTTTGGACGCGGGCAACGTAACGGTTCTCTTGGCGGAGGGCCCGAGTTCTCTCACGGCGCTCGGAAGTGAGAGCAGCTTCCTTTTGTTCTTCGGTGACACCAATCATACCCATGCCGCCGTTGGCACGAGTGACAAGGGCACGGTGATGGCTGGGGCGGACACGGGGTGGTTCCTCCTCAATTTCTCCATTCGCAATGGCAAGCTGTCGGGCAGCTCGCTCAGCGGCTGTGGGGTATTTGTGAAGGTTTTGCCTGTAGTATTTGGCAAGCGAGCGATGACCGACACTCTTTCCAGATGGAAGGTGGAGCTCATAGTCTGCCTCGTAGGCACCTGATGCATTTCGATATGAGTCAAGATCGTCCTCGTCGACGGAGGATGCGGAACTGTCGGTTTCCCAACCTTGGTCCTCTCCATCTCCGTTCACCTTAACGCCACCGCTCTCGCCAGTGGACTCGTCTTCATCCTCGGAGTAGGTGCTCCGGAAATCGTAGTATTGGCCGATTTCAACTTGCTCTTCTTCGGACTCAAAGGCAATCATGCAGTGGCTCTTGTCGCGCATGTGGGTTTGAATGGCTTGTGCGTCGTTCTTGATGGCATGACAGTACAGGCATTCGAAGTTTTCGGTGATTTTGCGGTAGAGGTAGTTCACGAGGCCATCAAGATCAGCCAAATATTTTTGCTCGGGGATGAACATGCCGTGGTCGATGCGCATGTGGTCCACGTTGGTGCGAATATCAGTTGAATCGGTTTTGCAGAAAAGACAGCGAGACGGCGAGAATTCGTCCTTTTTGACATCAGATTCCATATCCTCGTCTTCTTCTTCATCAATGGTAGCAGTCTTGAGGTCCTCGGTGACCTTGCTGACGTCATTGTCGGACTTGGTCACAGGTTCGCCGAGAGAGAAAGCGGAACTCTGGACGGAGGCAGCATCACCATCCTTACGTAGGCTGGCCGCACGTTGCTTGTGCTTCGAGCTGTTGAGATGATTTTGGTACGAGTTCTCGCTGTAGAATGCCTTGTTGCAAGTGTGGCAAGTCTTTTCGTATGAAGCCTTTGCGGCGGCCTCGTTGGAGGTAGCTTTGGCGGCAAGAACTTTTTCGTTGAAAGTTTCGAGAGTGACAGGTGGCAGGGAAGCGATGCGACGCTTCATGTTGTATAGACTAGGGAAAATCAGCTTCTGAAGTCGGAAAAATGATATAAAAAAATGTTTGAGAGAAAAAGAATTCAAGACTTACTGCCAGTCTTTGCGCATGTGATCTCTCTGCGCATCGCTGCGTTGGAAGGCAACGAGACAGGTGTTGCAAGTGTATTGCAGCGAGGCTGCGTCTTGGTTGGTTGACGACATATCGGTGGTTTTTCGAGAGTCGTTGGTGGTTGAAAGGGAGGGTTTTCCCTGTGGATTGTGGGATGAATATTTGTTGTAGGCGGGGTACATATGAAGGCTCTGCCTTCGGTCGATTTCTATGATTTTTTGATGAACTGAATGCAGATTGATGATCAAAGTGGATGAAAGTTATGAGACCCAGATGGATGTAAGAGAGAAGTATTTTTGAAATGGGACGATCCTCCAAGTCAGTCTTTATGCCCTCGATAGACCGTCAGGGTTGATCTGACTCCGAAATTATGTTTCTTATCGAGCGACTAAGCCCCTCTGAAATGCTACTAGTCCTATTCCAGTAAGCGTGATGTTCGTAAACGGCTTAGTAATCACCGAAAAGGTCGGCGGGCTGAGTAATCCAAGGTCCGCCGGACTATCAGACTTCCGACAGCTCCGATGACAAGAGTGGATATAATTTGCCTGAGGCATCGTCATCTTACTACGTTATCAGCGAGAGCGTCTTGGTCGCAATTACTCAACGCGTGGAGACGAGCAAACCACTAGCGCTCATTCTCACATACAGCTATTTTCAAACCCTCAGATATGCCACTTTGTTAAAATGACAAGGCTCCGCGGAGGTTCCATCGACGCCCCCAACATCGCGCAATCCCCCGGCCACGGGCGAACTCACAGTTACCGGTCAAAGCTCCCACCAAACGCACCGGATGCGCTCGTACAGAACACTATCGAGGTATCCGATCCCTCAAGAGTGTTACCCCGGTATCGCGATGATCGAAGACGAAAATTCAACGGCTTAGTACGCAGGTGAGTAGAACTCCAAATACTGTGCCTAAACCTCCTAACTCCGCATGACACTAATTGGTTTGGCGGAATAGGTACAAAGCTCAACTGCTTCACGGCTGCAATGATCCCGGATGTCGAACCTCTACATGTGCTAGTCATCGTCGAAGACTCAGTGAAGGTCCATATCGTAGATACACGGAGCTCAGTGCGAGGACCCTGGCATGCTACCTCGCTAGCCTAGACGACCCGGAGACCGGTTTATGTTTGAACTTGCCTAAGCCTCCGCCGCAGTTGACAGCAGAAGATTACCATCGGATTTCCCTGCGCCGAACCCGCACGCTTGAAGCACAGACCGCCGCAGCTCACAGGTCGCCAAAACCGGATCGGTACGATGAAGATCACTCGGCCCACGACGTGTCCAGACCTTCACAAAATAGATCAGCTGTGTCGGAAGTTAAAGAAGGTGGTTCTTCACCGCAAATACGTACCGGTGGTAGCTATATTCGAGACCTCGACCACACCGCGGAGCAACAACTAAAAGACCCCAAGTCTTTTACACAGAACCTCTTCGATACAATCTCGCTCCGTATGGTCGAATGGCTTCCCCTTCGCCGTGCTCCAGCCACATTGGAGCCCAATTCTAAATTACCCGCACCGGGAGCCGCAAACCATCCATCTACTCACGAGAAGCATCACCACCATGCCGACAAAATTCCCGGCAGAGATGTCAAAACTACAGGCAGTTCCACAGCTTCAAACCAGCCTGGCTCTCAACCTCGTACTCCTTCATCGCGAACATCGGCATCTCAACATCCCGCGGTCGAGCTCAAGTTTCAGAACCAGCATGTGAAACGACTATCAGTCTCTGAGGTTGACCATTGGCGCCAGAGTCCACGTTCAAGCCTTGAGGATAAAAGGAAACCAGAATTTAACATGAAGCTCCCCGTGGCTTCTTCTGATGAATTTGTTAGCCTACCCTCACCACCAGCGTTAAAGCACCGTCCGCAAAAGCACCGCGGAAGAATTGGGGACGTCGATTCAGTTCCCCCGAAGGAACAGCGCAAAAGTCAAAGACGTGTCTCCTGGGATAGCCAGAAGCTGCTGGATGAGGTATCTCCTATCCCTAGCACGAGGAGCACAGAGCCCATGCCTCCTCCTCGCCCTCTTCCTCCTTCTGTTGCACAATCTCCGAGTGAGCGTAAACCAAAGCAAATTCTCGTCGAAAACTCGCTAGACACCATTCCGCTGGCTCAAACAGTCACTCATCTTACCCCCGAGATCATCGATGGTCTGTCACAGATTATGATTGAATCTGCGGAAGATGCTGATTGCTGGGAGGAAGAACTTGATCGTATCCAGTGCACTGGCAGCTTTGAGCAGCCAGATTGGCTTTTTGCAACTCTGCGTCAACGTGAAGTATTTCCGTTCGTTGCTCAAAGTGCATTCTTTGTGTTCAGCAACCCCAGTCAGATTTTGCGCTCCTTTAATAGCGAGTCATCGGATATGATCGGGGCTACGTTCGGTCGCCTTGATGTTTCCCGTCTGCGTCTATCGCTGCAGCGCCTTTTCACGATTTGTCCATGGGATATTGCACTACATAGCCTATGGAGCTCTCTGGACAAGCTCTTTGTTCCCCCGCGGGGATTTACTTCCTCTGGACGGCCATCCCGCCGATCATCTCGCAGTTCGACCATGACAGGACCTGCGGGTCCTCCGGTCGTTCCTCGACGAATGTCGGAATCTGCCAGTGAAGATCACATGTCGGATCCTGATGCCGCCTACATTGCCACAATTGCCTTGTTCACTTTGGTCAGCTTTGTGCCTAATATTGACTTGGGGACTTGGAGAACGGTGGTTCGGATGCGTGCCGCTGGGTCTGTAGCTTCACTGTCGGACATGCGCAGGCTACCTTCGAAGAATGCT